GAGGAAGACAATGGGTCGCAGTTTTCGCGGCAAAGGCTGGCAGTGACCAATCCCTTGTACGGAGCAGAGAATATATATGTCGTGAATATGCTAACCAGTGTAGCTGTGTCGAGACGCAATGGCATGGCACAACCACCATCTTATGGAGAGCACCCTTCATTATCCGTGGTAGAATATGTCCGATCTACACACGGAAGCGGCCCTGCCTGGCCATGTACAAGGGAGTCGGGAGGTTCAGCCGCGGATCGGATTGTTCTCCGGCGGTTTGCGAGTGTACATCCACATACTGTTCCTGATTGATCAGCAAGAGCGAGTGGGATTCTGATAGATAAGAGTTAATATTTCCTGCCCTGTGCACCCTGCCGCCATTGTCCCATAGCGTCCATGAATTCCCCGCAAAGGCAACAGCAGTTACAACACTGAAATGACCTGGACGATGCAGGATGTACGCACGAACACTCGGGTCCATGTCTGGCATGGCATGTAATTCTGAGGAGCGGGCTCGAGTTGCGGTCGTCTTCCCATAAATGCCATAGACAAGACTTTCTATGTTCATGTCAGGCACAGTACTGTCATCCTCTGCGCCGACATCCAGCTGACAATATCTTCGAAATCAGAAACAGTATAGGAGTTGCGATTGTAAGTGAGGAGACATACATTGTGTTTTTCTGTGTGTGTGTGTGAGGAGAGAGAGCGGGAGAGAGAAAGCAGGATGGGCATAGATCAAAGAATGAAGAGTATTAAAGACTGTTCTTTTTTTTTTTCCTCTTTTTTTTCTTTTTTTTTGTTCTATCAGGAAAGGCAACATATCTACATCCTTCAGTTCAGATTCTTCAGAAGCAATCAATGCCGGCCTTTGGGTCTCCCAACCAGAATGGGGAAGCGCACAAGTGGCCCATTGATGCAAATATTTGACTTGCCAGTGGAAAAGGAACCGGCCTGACGCTCCCCACAATCGATATGGAGCCAGAACCTTAAGGTTCTGTTTTTTTTTTTTTAATCCACTAGTACCTCTGCCAGTGTTGGGAAATTACGAGTTCTAGCCTGTTTTATTCTGAAAGTTGTTCTTTTCTTTTTTTTCCTTTTCCCGTGTGTTTGTTGCGAGGCCCTAAGCCTCGGCAAGCCCTACTGGGGCCCTGTTTCCAGCATGCATGGCCACCCTAAGTGAAGGCGGGCCTGCCAAGTGACAAGATGGCTATTTTAGTGTTGGTCGCAAGACTTGCAACTGGGGAAATATTCAGACAGCTACACAGCACCAGTTGGTTAAGCGATCCCAGGCCCTGCCTACCGACATTACGGGCCTTCAGGCTTTTTTCCTGAATGAATCGAAGGCAGGCCCTGGGCCAGACACGGGGCAGGAACTGAGCACAGGCCGGTTGGTAGTTGGACACGGGTAACCAACCCAGGCCTTGTGGAAGATTCCCTGGGACAGGGGCTCAGGCACTTGGGGCCTACCGGAAGCTTCCGGGAGAGGCCCAGGCCAGCCAGGCAGCCAATGACAGGCAGCCACTTTCCATAAAGGAAAGGGCCTGGCTGCTGGCTGAACATTCGGGCACTCGCTGCTTATGCGTAAGCGCTGCTGCACCAGCTGCTGGAGCCTGCTGGAGCCTGCTGGAGCGAGTGCCTACGCGCTCACGGGCGAGCAGGGTGGACGCAGGCAGCCATAGCCGGGCTGGCCTGCGCATTGCTGGATAGGGCGCATGATGGTCTTCGGGTGCATGTAGCATCTGTGTGGAAGGTCGAGGTTGTGAGTGAGGCGAGGGACATACCTGGTGCTTGATGCGAACGGCATTGGCCAAGATCTGCTCGTACTTCGGAAAGCTGTTGACGTCATCCGCGGCACTGTAGATAGGCTAGATAGGATCTTTCATTTGTAGTCTGGGCGCTGAGCGCCAGATAGGGGAACGACATTGGTTCACTGATGATGATGGCGAGACAACTCCAACATTGTCATTTGTGAGCTCTGTTGTGCTCTTATTTGGTGTAATTTGAGTTGCGATTCCGCTTTTGGTTCGAGGTGACTATCTGGTTTCATATGTATGATGCGGCTTGGTTTCAGAATTTCACTATCGTTCATTTCCTTGCATTGTTATGAGTCCCCTGCCAACGAGGCAGGGTGGAATCCGTAATCTGCTCAAAAGCTGTGTTTCATCAGAGGGTTGTAACTCTGATCGCACTGGCACTTAGAGGAAATGTATCCAGCCAATTTCACAGCCGAATCCGTGTTTTCGTTTTTTTTCCCTTCTTTTTTTTTGTGTTTCTGGAATCTGACAATCTGAATCCGTGATCTGCTCAAGCTGTGTTTCCTCAAAGGATTGTAACCCTGATCACACTGGCACTTAGAGGAATGTATCCAGCCATTTTCACTGCAGAATCCGTGATTCCGGTTTTTTTTTTCTCTTGTTTTGTGTTTCTGGAATCTGGCAATCTGCCATTTTCACAGCAGAATCCGTGTTTCCATTTTTTTTTCTCTCTTGTTTTGTGTTTCTGGAATCTGACAATCTGGCCTCCGGGACTGAGATGCCCTCGCTGAGGGCACACTCACAGTACCACTTCCAAGAATGTATACAACCAGGGTTGCCCCCCTGCCGATCGCCGACCCCGACCGCCAACCGTATTGCAGCCGCCCAGTAGGGCCGACCGGTTGGCGGTCTGCCGACCAGTCAGAAAACAACCATCCACTTATTTTTTTCAAATCTGAGCTGGGGGCTGTACTGCACTTGCTGAGTACAGCCCACATCCGCTGAGAAACTTTTGGGGATGGGGGGCGGTATGGGGGTGTTGGGGTTGGGGTATAGGGGGGGTATAGGGGGGGTATAGGGGGGTATAGGGGTGATATAGGGGGTATTGGGGGGGGGGAATAAGGGTGTTGGGGGCAGTTTCGGGGTGTTGGGGGGCTGTATGGGGGTATTGGGGGTCGCTATGGGGGTGTTGGTGGTGTTATTAGGGGTTCTGGACCCAAAAATAATAATAATAATAATAATAATTACATTATAATTTTTATTTAATCCCCGCCAGAGCTTTGTTTCCTTTTTCTTGTTTTCTTGTTTTTGTGAGTTTCATGTCCGCAACTTTTCTTTCTTTCTTTCTTTCTTTTTTTTGTTCTTCCCATGAGAGTACCATAAAGGAGATGGAGTGGGACCCAACTCGGAGCCCAGTGAAATTCAGCGTCGGCAATAACAGCTTCGGAGGTACTAGTGGTTTAAACTTTAAACCACACTAGTACCTTTGTCGGTTCGGAAAATGGCCGGCTGCCTCCGACCTTTCAGGCGGCCGAAACGAAACGGCAGCTGCCGATTAGATTTATCAATGGCAGCTGTCGTCGAGCCCGGTCTCCGAAGTCTTCGGGAGCTGGCGTTTTCCCTCATTTCTGGAGCAGCAAAGGTACTAGCGGTTTAAGAAACAATCTCAAAAGCAAAGAAGACAAGTCAACATACCAGTGATCATGTTCAGAATGGTACACCCCAAGCTCCACATGTCCGACTGAGCCCACAGTGCCTCTCCTCCCCATGCCTCAGGACTCATATAGCGCGCCGTTCCCCGCGCCATTGTTGGGCTGTATTTCCCATTCGTACGCTCCACCGTTCGTGAGATTCCGAAGTCCGCAATAACCAGGCCCCCATCATCATCTTCAAGGAAATTTGCGGGTTTTACATCTTGGACGATAATGTGCTCGCGGTGCAGCTGCATCAAGGCTCGACACATGCTGATTGCTCGCCGCTCCACGTCCAGAAGATTCATGGGACCATTCACCTGCAGGCGCGACACCATTCGTCAACACCATTTGGTGCCAATCAGCGATCACCACGTCAGCTTTCTTCGGTATTCGCCCTTGAAGAACCAGTAGTATCTATCCCAAGGATCCACCAGCTACCATCGAGACACAAGGGCTTCAAAAAAAAAAAAAAAAAAAAAAAAAAAAAAGGTTAAAGACGCAATAAGCACCAGCAAAGTGTGCAAGGCCAGCAGGGTGACCCCCCAGAGAAGGACCATGGTTTTTTGTTTTTTTGCTTTTTTTGGGGGAGGGGGAGGGGAGGGGGCCTTTGGCAGCCCCCCCCCCCCTTGCTAGGTGAGTAGTGCCACAAGGGTTAGACCGTTCCCCTTCTCTGTCTGATATGATCTCCCCTGCCTTTCCTTGGATGTACAAACAATGTCATGCTTGCCGGGAAAAAAAGAAAAAAAAGAAAAAAAAAGAAAAAAAAAGAGTCATGCTTTCTGGTGATAAGCAACTGGACTGTTGCCCCCCCAGAATAGAAGGGGCCAAAAAAAGACTCAACAGGTACCAGCCAACTCTGCAAGGGCCGCACATTGTCAATCAAACGATTCACCGATTAACAAGTGAGTCACAGGTATCAGCAAATTTCATGGAGGCCAGCGAGTTAGTTATTTGATAGTGCCTACCTTCACAAAATTCGTCGGCACCTATGACCATGAGATCCTGCTTTTTACAAAAATAAGAATAAGAATAAGAATAAGAATAATAATCGTAATAATAATAATAATAATAATAATAACACTAGGCTGCCAGAGTGGCCCGGGGTCACTTGCCCGGCCGGGCCAAAAACATTAAAAATAATAAAAATAAAAACATTAGTTTTAAATTTTATTTTTTATTTTGAATTTGGTGAAGAATTTCGATGTGACCCTGAGGCAAAAGTTGTTCCGTTTATTTTTCTGCATAACATAGTTTTTTTGTGGATTTTTTGGATTTTTTTTTTTTTTTTTTTTTTTGCTGGAACCTTCCCTGGTCCTTGCACGGGCTGGGTCCCGGGTGGCCCGGCTGGTAGCCTAGTTTTAAATAACAATAATAATATAATAAATTAATAAGAAGAAGAAGAAGAAGAAAAGAAGAAGAAATCACTGGCACCTGTGAACCTGATCGTTAACCTAACCCGCCGATCTCCGGGACCACCTGTTTTTTTCCTTCCCGACATTAGAACCCGTCTTTTAATTTTGTTCGAAGTCCAAAAACTTCAAACTGATCGCCCTAAAAGGTCATTCAGATCGTTTTGGGTCATCTGATTCGTCAGGATTCAACCTTCTAGTCTTCTACAGATTTCTATCCAGCGACATTAGATCTTTCACCTTTCAAGCGCTTCAGAACAGGACCAAGTACAAGTGAACGGGCGAGAAACAAGCTCCCTTTGCTAACACATCGCAACGATGTGTTTGTTTTTACTAAAAAGTAGTAAAAACAAACTGCCAGTGATATAGTGCAGAAAGGTGGGAATGTATCTATTCATTCTATTCTTGTTTAAGGGAAAAAAAAAAAAAACAAAAAAAAACGAGGAAGGTGCAGATGACGTAAAGTCCACATGGCCCTTATGGGCTTGGCTACACGTGCTGCAAGCGCAATGGCAATAAGAAGCAAGGCTTGAAGCCATGGTTACGATTCGTGATGTCCGGATCGCAGTGCAGACAGTCCGAGCCTGGATGTTCGGGACTGGTATCCGGTCCAGACGTCCGGATCTGTGCTCCCCCCTCCCGGGACCACTTGCCCGGCCGGGCCAAAAAAAAGAGGAGAAAAAAAAATCAAATTCGTTGGTTATTTAAAATTTGGTAAAGAATTTTCATGTGACCCTGAGGCAAAAGTTGTTCAGTTTATTTTACTGCATCACATAGTTCTTTTTTTGCATGCTTTCGATTTTCTTTTATTTTTTATTTTTTTTATTAAGGACCTACCCTGGGCCTTGCACTTTTTTTTTTTGCAAGGACCTACCCTGTGCCTCTCCGATGGGGGCGAGTTTTTTTTTTTTTTTTTTTTTTTTTTTTTTTTTTTTTTTTTTTTTTTTTTTTTTTTTTTTTTTTTTTTTTTTTTTTTTTTTTTTTTTTTGGGGGTTTTTTTTTTTTTTTTTTTTTTTTTTTTTTTTTTTGAAAGGGAGAGTTTAACAAGGTAGCGGATGCTTTATCGCATAGGGCGCACTATTTGGGTGCACTAGTTACGGAGTTTGGGCTATCTGATGAGCTAACTCGATCTACGGTGGACGCCTACAAGGAAGACCCTGTAAGGATGGACATCATACGCAAGCTTGAGGCCAAAGGCAAGGTCACTATCGATGAGTTTGTGTTGGTGGACAGAGTGGTTTTCCTTGAAAAGGCGGGGAATAAACGACGTTGTGTACCGTCTAGAGAGGGTTTAGGTAGTTTATTCTTAGGAGCGTGTTATGATGCGACCGCTCACTTTGGCTACAGGAAGACTTGTGCAAACCTAGTGCAACAATTTTGGTGGCCCACTATGCTAGAGGATGCGAAGCTCGATGTAGAGACTTGCCAGGTTTGTCAGCGTGAGTCAGCGTGAGAAACCAAAGACTCAAGCACCTCTACGACTACTAAACCTCTGTTTTAAAAGGTGTGGGGCGTTTGTTATAATGACCCTGAAAAAACCCTCCTGAAAATTTAGGGCTCTGTTAACCACTTCTCTGCTTATTCCCGCTGGTCCCGGACAGAGTCCGTCCATGGACTTTGTGGACACCCTCATCACCCGCAAGAATGGGAAGAGCCATATATTCGTCATAGTGGTCAGGTTTTCAAAATACGCTACATTAGCCGCAATGCCAGAGACCGCTAAAAATGAACATGCGATCAAACTCTTCATGCACAACTGGGTGCGTGACTTTGGATTTTGCCAAGGTCTATTGTGAGCGATAGGGAAGTTCGCTTCACTAGCGAACTGTGGAAGAACGCGGCCCAGCAGATGGGATCCCAACTGCAGATGACTTCAGGAAATCATCCTGAATCCAACGGCCAAGTGGAACACATGAACCGAGCGGTGCAGCACTTGCTCCGGCATTACATTAAGCCGAGCCAGGACGACTGGGATGAGAAGCTAGATCTCATCGCCAACTCGTATAATAATGCCTTACAAAGCACCTGGTCCACCACCGGTATGTCTCCCAACCAGTTGCATCTTGGTCGGAAGCCAAGTTCTCTGCTCTTGCCTTTCTCCTACCTGAAAACCAGCCCACGGCAGCACCTGGCAGGATTGAATTTGCTCTGTCCAGTATGATAAAATGCTGCAGCAGAGCCTGTTCAGCATATTATTCAGAAGTCTCACGGCACCCAAAAATAGGCATAGAGGTCCTACTAACTTTCAGGTCGGGGATAGAGTCGGGGTCAAGTCATCTGAAGTGGGACAGGAACTGGGAATATCTAGAAAGTTGATGTCACAGTACTTCGGGCCTTGGAAAGTTATGGATATTGTTGGGGATGACCGTGATGGACCCTCCGACATCATTCGTATCCCCGGACACCTACGCACCAACCCCGTTTTCCATGCCTCCAAGCTTGCCTTGGGAAGTTCTGGATGTTGTTGGGGATGGGCCGTGATGGACCCTCCTACGTCAATCATAACCCCAGGCAAGTACGCACCTACCCCGGTTTCCATGCCTCCAAGCTTGCACCTTCCACTGAGACAGATCAGTTTCCTTCGAGACGATCTATGCTGCCCCCAACCATGGATGGACACGTGGACATCGATGACGCCATGGATCACAAAGATATGCCTGTTCCTAAGCCAGTTGGCAGAGGAAGACAGCCAAAACCTCAGAGACAGTTCCAGATCCGATTCAGGCATCATACAGATCACAAAGAAGATAGGTGGTTCACAAGGGTCCGGAGGAGCTGATGAAAACAGCACCTTAGATCGTGCGACAGTATGAGTGAAAGAATAAGGGATAAGATTCTATAGCAGCATCTCAGAGGACTTCCGAAGCTAAGGGGAGGGAGTAAGAGGAATGGATCCCTCGCCAAGGGCCGAGGAATGGATCCCTCGCCAAGGCCTGCGGCGTCGAAGTGCCCGCTCCCTTGCCAGGCGGGCCTGAATATTGCCATGGGGGCCGGTTTTCGTTAGCCTGCCGGGCCTACCCACTATCTGATGCAGGCGGGAGCTGTGCGACCGGGCCTTGGATTTTTCAGCAAGCGCCCTCAGGCCGCAATGTCACACATCGGCTCCCGACCAGTGAGGACGCGCAGCAAACAGGAGGCCACGTTGCAGAATTGAGCCTCCAACTGTTTCCCAGGGCTTTTCCGAGAAAGGCCCGTGGGCGCAGATACTGGGTCTGGACGTGAAGCCACTGAGAACTCCATGCGTCCAGCCAGGAAGAAGGACCCAGAACTGCTGCCACTTTTTCCATAAAGGAAAGTGCTGGCCTCCAGTCCAGGCATTCTGGCAGGAGGCCATTGTGCGGCAGCGCTGCCACTTCGTGCAGTGGATGCACTGGCGATGGCCAGGGAGTGGGCGCACATGGGGACTGGGAGAAGACTCAGCTGAGCGCTGCTTGGCATGTCGGCCATAACCGGGCCGTACGTGCCTGGAAGCCGGTGGGGTATCAGATGGTGGTCCTGGGGGCATGGTGGCATGCATGTTGGGGAACAGTTGAGATATATATATATATATAGAGAGAGAGAGAGAGAGGACAAACCTGGTTTGTCGTGGAGGTCTGCATGGGCGACATCTGCACATACATCAGTTCTGCTGCTGGAGTCTTCTGGTTGCATCATCGTAGTTGTAGGCTAGCATAGGTGTTCATCGTCTGTGATTGGGCAGCATACGCCCGTGAGAAGAGTGACATTGGATACAATGTTGATGGTGGAGAGAAGAGGGGCTCACATTGACATTTGAGTTCATTGTTTTGGTCCCCTATTTGGTGTACATTTGGTCCATAATTCTGCTTTCTGTGCAACACACACGACTATCCGCTTCTCAATGTGATGATGGAATTTGGATTTCGCTCTCGCTCATTTTCCTTTGCAAA